GAACGGATTGTTATTTGCTGCTTCATCCAAATGACTATGCCGATCACACCGCACCACTTATTTCTAAAACGCATGAGCTATTAGAACACTATAACGCCTAGACTCATTACTAAATATTATGACACTAAATAAACTCTAAGACTTCGCAAAATTACATGAAAAACAACTAGATTATGGGTAGTGTTTACTATACAATGATATACATTTATAAACATTTATATATACATAAAATATTAATGTTCTTTCCATATTTACATACTTTATCTCCCTGCTGAGCGCAATCTTCTATATACCTCCTGGTCGAGGTCGAACAACCCAACATCTAAACTGAAATGACCATTTAAGTAAATTCAAACTCAAATTCCATGAACGATCCGATGCAACCACTTGAAAACGCTGGCTAACATTCTGTACAAGGATTATTCTTGATCTGATATAAAGAAACTACTGGTTTTCAAGTAGTTTTCAATGTATTACTCAACTTACATGTACAGTCTGCCATGCTGATGCAAATGGCGCAAATGGATAGTTCTAGAATCGACCTCGGCCCCATTTGATGCAGTAAAACAATCTAACATGAACTTATCTAATTTTCGTATCAAAGACCAAATTTCTTTCCTATTATAAAACTACGATTAGACTGGTGAAAAAAATGGAATAAATACATTATTGACTCAAAATAATACATCAACAAACTTTATCTCAAGGATGCTGTTCACAACAAAGTTATATAGGAGAATTGACTTCAAGCTTTATTTTTCCCAGATATTTGTATCACATTCATCTGAAGTCTGGGTTTTTTGTTAATGCGAAGACAATATTTCTATATCTCTTTATGCGTTACACAGACAGACTATTTCGCAGACTGTTCTGACTGACTCTAATGTTAGATTGAACAAACAAACTGTAATTTATATAATAACTTATCCATGCCTGTACAATTGGTATGTTCCTGCATAAACAGGAATAAATATATATATATAAGCACCTAACTATTTGCAGGCGGTCGGTCACTGTTATTGCACCGCATACAGTGTTCAGATCTCGTTACTAATATACACTGTTCCCCTTCTACTGTGATTTCCCTTCCAGTTGCTTTCGTACAAGTTTACTGAACCTATGGCAATCTCATTATTTTCAAGGCTGCATATTGACCCAGACTTCGTCAGAATGATGAATGGATGTTTCGGATGCGAACACATGGACCTAAGTTAGGCAGTCTTGATACCGAGGTTTATAATAGCTCTTCGAAGGTATTCAGAAGTTTTCCTTCCGGGTCGATTTTTTGTGTCATATACCAATTTACAGGTCAAACACTTTCAGCAGCACTGGCCTTACCACTGTTTTCCGAAGAATTTTTCTAGTCTTCATGGCTAAATTCCTCGTACCCATGACCATGCAGGTCCCAGTTTGCAGGATTACTTAATTATGCCGTCTCCCTATAACTTCGGTCGCACTCATACAGTGACACACCACTACCTGTTCTGTACTTATCTGTGTACCACGTTTTGAGAAGCATTGGTCAGGTTTTTGGGAATCCTAATTTTACTGCTATGAGTCATGGTGTGTCAAGTGTGGGTTGGTGTAGTGCGCAAAGTAGCTTGCGCGTTCTCGGTGCAACAGCTCACTTGTGTTTTCAGCCACTGTTACACGTCGTGCAACTGATCTCACTAGCTGCCATACGTGAGACAAGATCATTGACTTTATTTCTTGGTTTGCCCTATTCTTGTGCTTTGCAAGATGCCTTTACTATCGTCAGCAATCTGTCCAGTTTCATTATCTCGGATTAATTTTGTACCTTTATATTACCACCAAGACACGTTACACTTCCCTGACCGAGTTTCAGTTTAATAAGTCCATCACTCAGCTTGCATGGTCCCTTCTTTATCGCTTACCGGAACAGAACATGGATAAAGCTGCTGAAGTGCAGTTTTAAGAAGGGCACTTTAGATAGTGCTTGGCACCTAATACTTAGGGCGCGTTTGACCATAGACAGCCAAACTTAGAGACACCAATTCAAGATCCCAGTGAAGTCATTCATAGATCCTCTCAATGTGAAAGTTAAAATGGTGTGCAAAATCCGGGATTCAGGGTTCTTTTGGCGTTGGAATTGGGGGTTGGCTTCGAGCTAAACGCTGAAGTCGGAGATGAATTACTCGTCCCTGTCCCGACTAACAGTAGTTTGTGCTATGAGACTAGAGGGTTGAGCCAGGGTAAGAAGCCATTGATAAGGAAGTTGTGTATACTTATCATCCTTGACTATGTATCAACGAGCTCCAGCTTGGATGGAATTATGGATGTTTTAATATCAATAGAGTGAGCCTCTCAGAGAGACGTCGTAATGCTACCGAGAGACTTGGATACACAAGTTAGGTTTCCAGGACAAGGTGAGATTGTCTAGTTGGTCACTGGGGTCTATACGATAATTCGGACAGTTTTCTGCAGCTTTGCATAGATCACAACTTGTTTCTAGCCTGCAACGACTGTCAACACAGTTATCACCATAGCGCTACCTGGCATCGCCCCTTTATCAACCAAGCCTAAACTCAAGTTGATCATATTGCCACTATTTTCCGATGGTGTCGGTTCCTGCGAGTTCTTGACAACTTCTGGATGCACACCGATTCATTCGGGCAAACAGAGGGTGTAAATACATGCGCACGATGTTTACGCTCCAAAGTGAACTGCGTTTATGTAGAGACCGCATGGGCTGTTAGTCAGAACGCCTGTGTGACATGGAATAATTAGCTGCACCTGCATATAACTTGAAGCTGTTCTAACTAATCAGGGCGACTGGTAGCGAAACATATGGTGTCAATGATGTAGTCTTTAACGAACGGTATGTTGACTACCAACCAGAAAGCAGGTCTTGAGAGATGTGAAGGCCACTTCGAGAGGTACTTTGGATGACCAAGAGCGTTGGGACCTGCACTTACTGTCCCAGGTGAACCAGATGAAGTTATTGACAAGATCCTTTATTTAGGTAGTTCTATAGATGCAGGTGCATGTGTGACGGACGAAATCTCTAGCTGTTTAATGTGACTTAGGTTGACATACGCCAATCTGGACTACCTCTGGCCCCGTCAAAAAGTCGGTCTGGCTTTTGTAATGTAGTGTTATTGATATGTTGGCTGTAGTCTATTTTGACTAGAATGAGCCTCTAAAAAACTCATCACCTGAAAGTATTCACCACAGTGAGGCAGATGCAGAAATAAGGCTTAACTGAGATGGCTGAGAAAAAATAACAACCTTTATTATTCACAATACAGAATGTCAATATGTCGTTTACACATCCACAGAAATTTGAATCATAAATAAGTAATCAGTATCTGGTCGATTGCAACAATCATGAGGTTGTGGTGAACAATGGTATGTTATCCATCCTAACAATAAAGTGAACGCCAGAGTGACATCTACCTGTCTGGGCCACTTCTGGCTTTATTACGATGTTAGCCTGGCCGTCAAATGTCAGGTTGGCGATGCTTTGGTACGTAGCCTTGTTCTTGATGTCACCACCGCCCAAGGAACTCTGAGGTTGAACAGTATTTGTCTGGACACCCTTAAGGTCACCATTCATTCAGTGTAGTAATTTTGAAACACCAGCGTTTGTGGCTTGAATGTGTTACGAATGTCATATCAGAAGCTTCCGTGGTGGTCGCTTTCCACTAACCTAGATGTAAGACTCAGAGAACTGGTCAGCCTAGGACATAGAATATTTGCGTTAGTTTAGAAACCAATTGAGACTCCCTGGTTGAGATTGGATAGGCAGTTCAGATCGATTCCCCGACAGGATGTAAAGTGTTGGTAGACCTGTTGATAAGCTACAACTTACCAGTCTTTACTTAACGTAATTTCATATGTACCCAGTAACTCAGTATTCTGTCTAACCTGTAAGTAGTAACGACAAAACTCAAATTAATAAGACTTGGTTACTAAAGAAAGGCGCTCACGTGAGCCGTATGTTTGAGTAAAAATAAAAGGTAAAGATTATACAAAGGAAAAAGGTCTAGAACCTATCCAATCGATACGGCTTTATTACAAACTCAAGGAATGTGTGTATTAACAGAACAATGGAAAAGCGCAAAAATGGCGTTGGAGACAGTTCGCAACTGTACTTATTAAAACACAGTCTTCAAACATCAGTACTTGCACTATAAGGTTATCAGGTGTGACCAAAAATTGAAACCAGGGGTGAACATGCCGCCATTTTCCGACCCCTGTCCTTTCTGAAGGTAACATGAAGTGATGAATGTTGAGCGACCCTACACTTATCCTATTTCTATTTTTCTTCATATATTGTTTTTATTTCCTTTTTTGTGGGGCACATCTCCTGTTGTCCATACTGTGTCAAGTTTGTTTCTAATATTAATGATAATAGTATGACAACATTACCTGTGTATATGAACAAAAACCGTAAATTGTAAGACATTGTACCGTCCGGAAGCATCTCCACTTATTGATTACTGAGCATTAATGTCAGCGATATCGAAAAGGTATCTACAGTTGCTATCTAGCTGATAAATGAAGTCCTAAAATAACAAAACTAGTGATACATCATCCTGAATAAAGTTAAAATTTAACATTCATGGATAATATTAGTACTACGGATTAATTGTGTCAAATACTGTTCAACGGATACAGAATTTACTTGTTTCAGAAGTCACTCAAAGAACATTAATCCCGATGTTTGCCTAAATAGTACTGACATGAGATAGAGAGAAACAACAATAAAATGATCAGAGAAGTCTGAGCTATGTAAATAAACAAATCAACACGAATCATATTGATTGAAGAACAATATGCTATTCGACTAAACGGATTCCCAATAAACGCGCGCAGGCAAGATATGCCCAAGTTATTCCCATATGAAATAACATTTACGACATAGGGATTACCTCAGGAAGCTCTGCTAACAAAATCCAAAGGTCATACAACAAAACTGTTGGAACAAAGTAAATTTTTTTACGGTCTGCTTGCACTTAAGAAGTTGTTGATTTTTGAGGATATATCACTATGAAATACAGTGCGCAGTATAATAAAAATAACTATAAGTGTGCCAGTTGGTTACTCTATAACACCTATAGAGGCATAAAAAGACCTCCAACTGAAGAAATATATCACTAATATTTATTCATCTTATCTAGAATAGTCTTAATGAAAAGTAAATTATTTCACACACTTGCATAACTTTAAAATAAACATGACGACAAGCAAATAGTTAAATGTAGGCGAAGTAGAACTGAGATTAGAGCCTTAACAGTTGAGATAGAAGAAGTGTCGATGTGAAAAATCAAATCTCAATAAATGTGAATAGAGCAGAAATCTACATTGAGATGAATATATCGTATTTTGGAATGGAATAAAAATTTAAGTTTGTTGTAATTATTCATGTACAATATTTTAAATTTAACGAAAATAGTTTTTATGTAAAGGCACACACATCATGACGAAATCCAATCAGTTCTTTTGTATAAGAGACTCTGAACAATTCTAAGTGTTGTGTACACAAGCAGTGTTAATCAAGAATGTCATAATAGATATGCTGTCAATTCAAAAGAACACTAACACAGTGATAGTTATAGTAAGCAGTAGTGGAAGAAGAATATGTTTACACGTATTTATTTGTAACACTACAATATGAATACAAACTCTTCTAAATAATGCAAAAGGTGATAGTGAATAAATAAATCAACCCCTGAGATGAGATAGTCATAATAATACATATACATAAAGGGGTGAGTGAAGGGGTGACAAATGAAAAAGACAGGAAATACATAATCAGAACAATGTCAGTGTAGAACAGAGTCTAAATTATTTGAAAATGGTTCACTAGATAAAGGAAATAAGGAATCTATACAGGGAACCTTTTCAGTACTTGGATCAGTGGTCAGAGAAGGTTTTGATTCAGCAGTTCGTTGTTCATCATCATTGTCTTCTCGATCAGCTTCATAATTAGAAGTGTAATCCATTCCACAAAACAAAGCAGACTGAGGTGAAGCATCGATACTCGGGATATGGTTATCCGTTTCATTTGCTGCCACATTAGAGAATGAATTATTGGTAGTTAGGCTGTCAGGTTGATGTGATGATGCCGTCGGCGACGACGTTTGGCCGCCTTGATGTCTGAATTCTGAATTAAACTGGGTGATACTTGCTCAGAATCATCCGTGGAATCAGCTCTTAAGTTAGAATTTTTCGAAGGGTCAGTATTAATACAGTTATCATCATCAGTTGATTTAGACAAATGAGAAGAACAACGATTTGAGTTGTTTTGTATATCGTTGTCTATCGGTTGACCTGCAACCAAGAATAATTGATTGCCTGATACAGAGACGGTGAGTAATTTCTTTGGATGCCAAGATAAATGAAGAATTTTACGCTGGCAGTTGATTTGATGCATTCCTGGAATAGTTAATTCACCAGATAAAAAATCTTCGAGAGGCGTTTTCGTAAGAGGAAGTGAATTTAACATGATACCTTGTGATTCACAGTCATTATTGAAATTTGAAAATTTACAGATAGAACTAAGACCATTTTCATATCTTTTTGGACCACTATATAAAGAATGCTTCCGACGATGCTGGTGCTTACTTTTATGGTGTCTACCGTGGGAATGGTCATGTTCACCACCTTGAGTATTACAATTAGAATCACTAGAATCATTAGTACGGGAAGGCAAAACTTGTTTTCGACGTTTTGAACCTGTCGGTGGAGGAGGAGGAGGGGGAGGGGTATTTTCAGATGGATCTAAGAAATCTAAAGCTTGAAAATCAGATAGTTTTGCTTTCTCAGGTGACAAATTTAAGGAATCTGGACTATCATCGAATTTATTCCAATCATTATTATCACTACAGCTGCTATGTGAACTAGTTGGACTAGTAACTTCTGGAAAAAGGATGTCGACAGCGTCCAGTGGTGCCACAAATATTGCAGATAGACCTAACTGACTTCCAATAGGATCATCAGGAGACATGAAGCGCTTAGGAGACAGGTAACTTGGAGTACCGTCCGATGAATTTGCAGAATATGGTAAACTTGAGTCTTGCAGGTCATACAGCCAATCAGAACCACTGTGTCGATCGAAGACGTGAAACAGATTGTCATAAGATCCAGTAACAGCATACCTGTAAATACAAATAAAATATACTGCTCAGCTGAAAGCAAAAATCATCATTGAAGTATGCTGAATGGTAAGATTAAACTTGAGTTGAGCAAATTCTATTATTAGTTTACTAGTTGAGTTTCACATAACATAAAATCAACTTTGTCTGAAGGAAGCCGATTATAAGAATTTTAGTAATTAGTAAAGGGGATAATGGGTCTTTTCAGTGCCATAAAATCGTCAACTTTTATGATTCAAATAATGCAGGCAAGAATTCTGAAACAACAACTACTTCAGTAGACCAACTAAGGGGGGGGGGGTTAAGCACACACCATAAAATTTAATTCCGTTCAGAAATTTTTTATCTTGGACACTAATAATAATATCGGCTTTCTTCTGAGCTTTCACATCTGATCGTAGATATTTCAATAACCCCCTTCGTAACATATGCAACAACTTAGTAAAGAACTGAGGCATAGTTTCAAGTTGCATGAGTATTTAGGAATCATTCTTTCTTTCATTTAAAATATGAATACAATCAGAGATGACTGGTTTCTCTTCTGATATAAAAACTGAAGGTCGACTGAACGAAGTGAAAAACAGATGAATATAGGACAATACAGTTGTTACGGTGATAATAATCAATTCATTGAGAAAACCTCAAATGTAAAAAAAGTCCGGAAAAAGTAGAGTAGCATAGATACGACAATCACATAAAAAGATGCTAATTAACAGTTTTAGTCTTCATCTAACCTATTATTAATCCCCTCTGAGTATGCTCATGAGAAATAAGCGAACATTATTTCACCATGACGATATCACCTATAGGGAATTTGAAGCCTCTGAGCATGAAAAATGAGAATTGAGGAATAACAAAACAACCAGAATGTCCATAATATGAAACGGATATGTTTACCACTATACTTAAATTCTTTAGCCATAAAGATTTACAGATAAAAATTTAACACTTGTGAGTCTTACCTATCATCGTCTGACCATGCACATAGAAATTTATCAAAAATAGAATCATTTTCATATAGCATGCAAAGTTGAGAACGGAATGGTTCATGAACTGAAAATATTTCACACGGTCGGTCTCCCATTCTCATATCCCAGACTAAAATGAAGAAATACACAGGTGTAAAATATCAGAGTGGAAATGGTTGATAAACACTAGTAATCGAAAGAGAAAAGTTTGAAAATGTGAATAAAGTGGCAGCACAAAATGAACTTTCTCTTATGAGACGCTGATAGCTGCCTGTTTTCACTTCTACTTTACTACAATAACAACATATTTGGAGAGTGAAACAGCATTGTAGTTGGTCAAGTAGACAAACTCCCTGTGAAAAAAAACTGGTATCCTCAAAATGGAAGTTATCCGACTCAGTCTGTTTGAAATACCAAAGATCATCCCTTATCATTACTTAGAAAAAGTCACATTATAAATGCGGCCTGCTTAAAACTACATATCATGGATTTCTTGAAAGAGACAAAGCAGATATATCATAGAGGAATGGTTTGTGCTTCAGGTCAGAGAGCAGTATGTCACAGGATATTGTTTTTGATTCCTTTACGTTCCCAGTGGAATATAGGGCTTCAAGCTAGAGGCTTGCGGTTTCGGTAGCAGTGGTATTTATGTTACGGGATGAGGTTGCTAGCCTAATGCCCAACCTTCCCTCTTATTAGTGGCTTAGCGAGGTAAAGGATATACTGTCAATTAATATTTTACCTTAAGATATTGTACGAAGGGACAATATCATGCAATAAACTCCTTTGAAAATTCTGTATATTACATAAATACTATCGAGAATAAAGGTATTATTATCATTATTATTATATCACAGAACTTTAAAATACCGACTACGCCGTAACCTGACCCAAGAAACTAAAGGGTACGAAAAGTGTCATGGACTGCACGTCTTTTTTTCTCTATAAAAAAATCCATCCTTTTACTCGCAGTGATGACGTCAGTGCAATAAATAGATCCACTGTTCAGTAATTATATCTAGCGTGAAAAGAGTTTAAACTCACTTTTCAAAGTTAGATAGTCTCTTGCTAAAAGATAATTTCCTGTATTACCGAACCGAAAATCTGATAAACTTGCAATAATGTCAGCAAAAAAACCCAGATTCTGTGAAAGACTTGGATCTTCAAAGGCTGAAACCAAATAAATAAAAGACAATTAATTTGCCGTGTACAAAAAATAATAATAATAGAAAGCTAATAATTCATGAAAATTAAACAATACAAATGTTCCATACTGTATAGAGGATATTTAACAATAGCTAAATACTCCTGAACACAATATCACATAGCCTGAGATTCATTTGAACACTTAATCGATGAATTGCTAATAAGTGAGGACAAAATGACTTAATAAACTGACATTATAGAAATTTCTTATTCCACAACTACGTCACGTTACTCAGCTTTAAAAAAAACAAAAATCTAACAATGTAGAGTTGCACTTTTATTGTAGTCATTCGCGCTTGATTAGTTTATTAACCTCTGTACACTTCAATTCTATAGAATTATAGAATAGGACAACGGTTGAGAAACACTAAATTTACTGTGAAAATACATCGATGACAATTGCTAAACACAGAGAACTTACATTTTCAGCGACAATGATATACAGTAGTCTTTGTCAAATTTAATAAAAATACTCAGTATTGCTTGCGATTTTATTCACAAGTCAATATTTTTTAGAGTGTTATAAATATTCTAACTGGTAAATGCATTAACCATTACTTTGATTGTGTGTAGGAAGAAGAATTACAGAATCACACACTAAGGAGACCCCAGCCGTTGAGTACTCTAAAAACACTGACATTCTCCGTTGAATGAAGACTACTGAAATACGAAAATTATTATTATCATCATTATTTAGATCTATGTATCTTACTATCACCTCAAAAAGGATGTCATGTTATGTTCCTGCTTTTCTAATGAGCCGTTCTTTTATGTCAAAAACGTAGTTGTAGAACACTTCGTCAGTTAACAAAGCCTAAACATAACATCAGGATATCAGTTTGCTGACATTATGTATCACTAATGAGGTGATTGTTTGCATATTCTCAAGTGTTTATTCACAGATACCCTTCAACATGATACTACAAGATAAACTAGAATGATAAACCAAATACTACTGGTAGGGTGACAGGTCAGTGATACCACTATGAGACATCGAAACTAGAGAAAACTGTTAGCCTAAGAGATTATGCATCCTTTGACTTAAACTCCAATTACCAATATTATAAAAACAACAACCAGAAGGAAAGATTGCATGGTTGCCACTAATTAAGACAGCTTCACGTGTCATTTATTCCATTTAAATTCTATTGCCACTGTTTTATCCACCAATTCTTATAAAACAATAATACGTATAATCAAAATGTAGCTTATTGTAGCCGCTTAAAGCAATAAACGGAATTACTCACCGAGTACATGATTATCACACAGAGCTCGTTGTCGCATATCACATAGTCGAATAAGACCTCGACTAGTTGAATAAGCTAATATGTTACATTGAACAGGGTGGAAACGTGCACAAGTAATCACTTCAGTTAAATCTTCCATATTTGACGGTTTCAGATCAACAATTGCTTTAATAGATGAAAACAGAAAAGTAATAACACAGATACTTGAACACGCAAATTTAATTTTTCAAAAAAGATTCAAAACGATATTAAAGGTCAGTGTGAAATGAAGCTGTATGAGTAGCACTAGCAGCATGATAGTTGAGACAGAAATCTGTTATAACAGGTCAACTCACAAGTATATTGTTATTTCATGTCACTCAGCATTTACGCAGAGATCACCTGATGTGATTCATATTTGAAATAAAACCAAGAAGGGTTTTGTAAACCATGTTCATCATTTGTTTCTCTGTGCATCATTAAAGTTGAATAAGAGTGATTTAACTGTTTTCCCGACTCTCTATTTTCCTCTTCTGAGACATAATTTATGAGCGAAAATAACATTTGACCCTTGTGGACATTTTTCCTAATATTTCTATACTACCATATAACTGTGCACATTCAATAAGAATTTCTGCCAGTCTACATTTCTAAATTTACATCAGATGGTTAGACGTGAGGAGATTAATATCGGACAGGCAATGCCACACAATGTTTTACAAAAGTGCAATAGTTCATGTCACAACAAAATATTATCATGAGTAACCAAATGTGCCCAAAACGCCAACAGTATACGACATTGTGTCGATTAAGTGGAATGTTGCATCAATTAATTTATTATTATAAAATCATACCCTCCCAGAGCACAAGTTCTATTCATGCGTCAGTGCAGAAACATGAAGTAAACAGAAGTGAAAGAAAATTAATCACACGGAAGAACTAAATAAAGATCGGTGATGTGTTCAATATTTCAATAGTTCTGATGATGTGTGCATAAATTCTTAATAGTTCGTCTGCAACATCCAGAGGATATAGGTAAAGCAATCCACGCTTTAATACACAACACATGCTAACAGGCAGTCAAAAACTGTTTGGGTCATAACTAGATCTTCCTTACTAAACTTTGCTTTGATTAACACTGCAGGCCGGGATAATCGAAAGCTTAGTGTGCTAAAACATGTCTCAGCCATCATACACAACAAAAGTTGGCAGTTTTATTCATTTAGTTGCCTTCCTTTTGCACCCATGCTGAAGAATACTGATACCATTCTGGTTCGACCTTATATTATACCCACTGAAAAATGAGTGCGTAACCAAAGTGGGAAACCCTTTATTACTACTATAATTATAAGAGCACGAAAAGTATTCGGGGATTTCGACGACACACCATGATCCATAGAAGAAAATGAAACAGTTGTTTGACTTTTTGAAATATGCATTCTTATCAGATGATTGCGTACAGAATATTTTTAGCAGTTTCAAACCCTAAAAATATCATAATCTTTAGTTTTCAAGAGTTGGTTTGTAAGGATTAGATTTTTTTCGAGTTTGACCACGGAATGATATCAGTTAGAGAACCATGGAAAACCAGGGAGTACTGCCAGACAGTTGTTTAATCTCAGTTTGGGAATCATCGGCAGTACGCACTTACTGGGATTCGAACCCAGGACCTTCCGGTTTCAAGGCAAGCTCCTATACCATTCAGCCACTGGGACCCAATTCAATAGTTTTCAATGGTTCTCTCAATGATATCAGTCTGTGGTCAATGGTTGGTGGTCGCGCTGAATCACGAATTGGTAGAAGTTAGAATTCATGGACCATTGAATCGGGTCCCAGTGGCTGAATGGTATAGGAGCTTGCCTTGTAACCGGAAGGTCCTGAGTTCGAACCCATTCGGGGTGGGTGCGTACTGATGATGATTCCCAAACTGGGATGAAACAGCTGTCTGGCAGTACTCCCTGGTTTCCCATGGTTCTCTAACTGGTATCAATCCGTGGTCAAACTCAGATCTATATGTTCAGAAGATGTAATTGAGGATGAACTCAAAATTGTATGTGACATCTAAACTGAAAATAGCTATCCCGCAAAGCTCATCATGAAACACATCACCAAGAAAATGGAAAAGAATTGTCTTGTAGCCGTAAACAAAAAGCCTTTATATATACGACTGCAATACGACGTACCGAGTGAAATGATAACCAAAAAGCTAAGAAAGTCAATTCAAAGAACTTTTAATGCTAGTAAACTCCGAGTCATATTTTCCAGTTTTGATTCCTCAACTGAGGATGAAGTACCTAGGCTAATCATATATTGTCGTATTCATCAATTCGACTGTACCCATGAAGCTGGCTGTGTTAGTCGTTGATTTAGAAGTTTAATTTTTGGTGCATGGAAACACTTACCAGTGTAGTGAAAACAAACAACAGTCCCATATTAGATCACCTGGTCCAAACAGGTCATAAACCTAGAACTGAAGAATCTTTTTCTATCATCTATCCGGTATTAAATAAATTTCCGAAAGCTTCCAAACAGCTAAGGCTATTGCAATTCGCTTAAAACAGCCAGTGCTGTGTGCGAAAGAAACAGGTCCAGCCACTATTGCTATCCTGGCCCACTGAGGAATCTATACATTCATAAATATTGTATTTCGCCCACCCCACTGTTTTTAGGTATGGCCTTCCATCCTGTATATATAAATTTTCCTATCCCTTATTATTGCAATTGTACCAACTTTTCGTTTTCTTATCTAAGCTTAATCATTAGATTACACCCTGATACACACGCGCATAACCTTCGAACCCGTTTCCTCTCCCTGTTTTTCCCATTATCATTCATCCATATGACGTTTATCCTCAATGTGAACATTAGTTATAAGCACTCGTTACTATATATTCTATGTTATTCATGATCCCTTACTTTGGAAAACTGGTGTTCAATTTGGTGTTACGTTTAATTAATTAATTTATTTTTATTACAGCTTGATTCCACACAGTATTTTGGTACAAGTATGGAATTTTCAGCATGTGATATCAGTAGCCCAAATTTAGCAGGCCGACCATTAATATCAGGTGTGCATCGGCCGGAGATCGAACCACGGACCATGTGCACGGACGGCGAGCGTCCTAACCGCTGGGCCACCTACGCATCGATGCATATTATCACCTAGACATGTTTCAAACTATAATCTATCAACAATCTGCTCGCATATAACTTTGGGAATTTTACTGTCAATGAATCGATGTTATTTTAAAAACGCGTTAGTAACAAAAATTATTTAATTATTATGGATATGTAAATGTAGAATCTGATGCAGTTATTGAAAAGATTATTCTTTGTTCAGTAATCAGTCTTATGAAATTTCTAATGGACATCTTTAATTATATATATATATATATATATATATATATATATATATAACCTCGCCTAGTTAACTAGCTTGTTAGTTTCCTAGCCGGTCTCCAGACCAGGTAAAGAGGGAGAGTTGGGTGTGGAGCTAGCGATCCCACACCACAAAAGCTATCAAACTGCAAGAGAAACTTCAACGCACAAAAAATATGTTAGAAATACAAAAGGTCCAAATAACAATCTTATTCTTCGCTCGAATCGGAGAGGCAAAATGACACAGCGGGCTGGCTGGTGAGAGCCTTCGGGAAGCCAGTCAGCCGATGTGTCTTCTCTCGATAAAAGCAAGAATAAGAAAGGGGACGTGGAATGTCCGAACAAAGCATAAAATGGCAGTCAAACATCATTCCACCTCAACTTTATCGACTTCGAAAAGGCCTTCAACAACGTTAACTGCTCAACAATTTGGAAACCACTTAAACACTGTGGAGTTCAGTGATTTAAATCTTTGTCAACCACATTCAACAGCTCTCTGACAAGTGAACTACAACAGAGAACTCAGTGAGGCGATTGATGTGAAGACAGGAGTAAGACAAGCTGACTGCCTATTATCATCGATGATATTCTTAATCGTGGTGGACTGGATTATGCGTCAGACTGTTCACGGGAAGCCAGGAGACACGAATACGCTGGACCACCGATAAGAAGACTCTAGAACAACTCGATTTAGCGCGTGGATGATTTATGTCTAATGTCACACAAACTCGAAGACCTATAGGCGAAAAGCAACAAACTGGTTGAAGCAGCAGGCAGCAAAGACAGGACTCCAGGTGAAAATAGAGAAGACGAAAGTGATGAAGATAACCAACAAACAGCAACCAGAACAACAACCAGCACCAACCATAAACGGGAGAGATTTAACAGAGGTAACCTCCTTCACTTATCTAGGAAGCATCGTTTCAATCATGGGTGAGTGGGACGATGAAGATGTCAAAGCCAGCCAATCAGAATCGGAAAGGCAAGTTACACCTTCATCAACCTGAAACCAGCTTGAAAATTGTCTGCACTGCACTCAGCATAAGCAACAAGATTCGCATTTTCAACACAAATGGGAAGTCAGTCAGTTTTTCTATATGGGTCAGAAACTTCGCGTGTCAAGAAAAGGATGTCCAACAGGCCACTGCAGACTTTTATTAACAGCTGTCTTCGCTGTTGAAGATGAAATGGCATGTCAGCGAGAAGGAATTAGCAATAAGAATCTCTGCAGTGGAACAAACCAACCCATCAAGAGCCGATTGCTCAACAAATAAATAGGAGAAACTGGAGATAGATCGGACATACGTTGAGGAAACCACCGAATGACACAATGCGCCCTCGAGTGGAATCTACATGGGAAGCGATGAGTGGGTTGTCAGTGTGAGGGTGACACGGCGGAGACCGTGTGAGTTGAAGGAGATGAGAGATTATGGGCAATCGTGGACCCAGCTGAAGAGGACGGCATAAAATAGAACAAAGTGGAGATGTGTTGTTGAAGCCCTATGTTCCACTCGGAATCCAAGGGAATAATAAATTATATATATATATATATATATATATAGTCTCTTAATTTCCCTTAGTTTTCAAAACTACCATTAAAGTTACATGGTAAACAGTTTTATCAACAGATAATTTTCGAGGAAAATATAGGTATTCAAACATACTAAAAGATTGATCCGATACGTCTAAGTGCCACAGGTTGATGCGAAGATCATCAGCTGAAAGAAATGTTTCCTGATCAGAATTCACAGACACTGCATTAATATGATAAGCATGAGCATTGGCGAATAAGCGACGTGGACGTGCTTCGATTGTGAGATGGCGCGATTTACGAAATTTCGGTATACGTAGTTTATCTGGTGTGACAATATGAGGGATAGGAGGTCCAATAGTATCCAGCCGATCTGTACTTTCATGCCACAAACTTGCATTCTCATCATCACGTATGTTGAAGTTATACGCCTCATACTGTCTTTCTGATAACCGCCAAAGTTTAATGGTTTTGTCTAAATAAAAGTTAACCAGGAAACAGATGTCACTATTAATAAATACATCATTTTCAAGAAGATTAATTTCCAACTAAAATGTAAGCGTGTTTTCACTAAATCTAGATAACTTTCAACTATTTAAATGACCACATAATAGTTATGATGCTCGGGTTACTATCAGACAGACAGGAGGTAAAACCACATATAAGTATGCCTTAATTCAAGCTTCCTGAAACCAAAATGTGGATTCCGAAGGTAAACAAGGCACATGAGCAACCGTAAAGCCATGAATATCACAATAAAACTAAACACAGACCCATATGAGCGATTGTAATCTAGACAATGATAAAGTATGGGGAGTTAAAACGGCATCTTATGTCTGATAGTGACAGTATGGCGTACCAATAGTTATGGGCAGTGAAATTATGTTGCACTGTAGAGTGGTTGCTATTCCTATTTTGTTAAGAAGAGCAGAGAAATAACCTTAGTGATGGAAACTGCATAACATCATTAAACATACGAAAAATTATTAATTATAAAACATTAGATTCATGTTATAGGACTCAACACAAAATGAGGATAAGCTTCCCACTTGTGAAAAATTTATCTAAGGTTACCATAGGTCTATATTATCGCTGGAAATAAAAAATTCAAAAGGAATTCAATACTAATAGTAACTAATATTGCAGAAGGCTGAGTGATACAAGCTTTAAATCGCCAAAGTGGAGAAAGTTAGCAGTGAAACACAAAATTAGTTTCACACTTCATGTAATGTGGAGGAAGAAGGACGAAGTAGTTTTCATTATACATAACAGTCTGAATACTAAATTACACACGTTCAAAAACCTTCCCAACACATTGAATCCTAGTGGAGACAATTGAAAGGGTTCAGAATACACCTTTTATAGTGCTTAAGATCGGAAAGTGAAATGTGCCTTCTAGACGCTACCACTGACATCATAATCAAAAATGTACAACTTATGAAAATTCACAATAAACAACATTGAATATTCTACTTAATGAATACCTACCGTTAGCAGAAAGGAGATGGTAGGAAGAAGTATGCGCTTGAAGCCAAGTAACAGAATTGATTTTCTCCTCAATTTCCAATGATTTTAAGTAGTCAAATTCCGGTTCATGACTGGTAAATGAGCAATAAACATCATATAATCCAACCTAAATAGAAGTAAAAACGATAAATCTTAAATAATTACGTCTTTATTGTTTTTAAAGACAGTAACACGTCCCGATTTGTCGCCAGCTGCTAATAATTCACCAGATTCATTGAATTCCACACATGTGAAATTATCACCTAAACAAATAGGTGATCACGAGAACTAGGAACTTACCATCACCAATATCGTCGGAAGTTGATCCTTTTATTTGACTGACGTACCATTTGACCGACTCTAAAAAGTCATAACAAAATATTGTCATTAAGGGGCAACTAAAAAGCCATGTTGCTGTGATAAAAATACATGAAATTACTTAGTACATAATAATACTCAGTCTGTATTACAGGCCCACTTTTGCGTTAATAAGGTCACTACTATTGATTTCACAGGCACGGGTATGTGGTCAAATTAAAAAGTAAAAATAACACGTAAAATTTGACACTAGTCGACATCCATTTGCATGCTGTTAACTTGACTGGTACAGTAAGAAAATGGACGTATCTCAGGGCACATTTCACTTTAGTTTATGTGACAGTAGTAAGAGCTTGAATGAACGGATTTTACTGAAGGCTTTTTAGGATACTACAAAAATATGAATATACAGATGTAAAATAGCCAAAAAGTTCCTAGACTAGACATATTTATTTCGGATTGGGTACATATTAGATCAAAAAGTATTCGCTGGCAGTCAATGTGTTATAATAAATTATTCCTAACAATTCAAAACCTCAAAGGATAAAATCTTACTTTCTGGTCAGTATATACCATTTTTCTGTTTACCACTCAACAAAGACAAGGAAAAACTCTCTTAAAAATGTAAGCTCATATCCTAACTGTTGTAGAAAATGCAGCCGCACCTTGGACGAAATATGAGATTCAGAACTGAGTTCATTCGGCATGTAAAGACATTGGAAATTGCAATCATACAGCAGGCTTTAACACATCCTCAGAAATGTCCACATAAAGAATATTTTAGACATACTTTACTTACAATGACTTCCAACTTAGTTCTTATACAACTTCAAAAAATTACTGAATTCTGAGTTCTCACTGGTTTCCTTTTGTTATACGTTTCTTAGCTTACTTAGGCTACTCGGAAAAAACAATCATATCAAACAGATATAGCTAAAGGTGGAGCCTTTTCAACATTCTGAACGAAAGAATGAAGACGATTACGACATATTATACACATGCCGCATACGATATATTGCTTGAGGACAAGTCTAGATATATATATATATCTGTTATATATCTACGGCTAAAATTTGGTTATCAGCAAGAAGTGCAAGAAACACAAAATATTACTATACTTGTATAAACATTTGTTGTGAAACATAATCACTGAGTGCAGAAGAGATACATGTATTTAACCCGTCAAAATGAACGAAACTCATAGAAACAATGCATCACTCAGTGCATAACTGTAAAATTAGTTTGGCCCATGTTATGTAGAAATACCAACACTTAAGTCAATATCCCCTCAAGTTTATCTAACCTGAGGTATTCATGAGCTGAATAGGACAATATTGACCAGTTTATCAGTGTGATGCGATAAGGTACTCAGTGAAATCACTGTACCAACTTCACTTATACTCGAAAGCACTTTGATTATTACGCCAGACACAACTTGTCAAAAAGCTGAACACAAGCGTAAATGTGATTGTACTAAGTGTGATTCATATCACAAGATATCCTGCACGTATTGGAAAATTAAGTGATTATGCAAATTCTAGTTGATGGTTGTGCACTTTTCCTCACCGTGAAAGGTTCTCCTCTGGAATAGTAAGTGTAGATAGGGTCAGTACTCTTTCTGTTAAGTATAGGCATTTTTCAGTGCAAACTTTTCCTCTTGGAAGCTAACTGGAGTTAGGAAGAATAACATAAGCCATCATGTAACTGAACCCAATAGTTTATGTATGCTTAATTCGTACAAGCACATTTTATCTGAATTGCACTAAAAAATGTTGGTCTTTATTTGAGTTAGGTAAATATATGATCGAATGCTGACTTTTCTTCCTTATCAAGGTTACGTTAATTAAAATATATTTCGTTTGACACTTCTTGAGGCAACTTCACAAATTTCATCTGATTAATTAACCCATTCTTCGCGCTGTTACGTACACAGAGAGTGTTTATTGAGTGAATGTGATTAGAGATACGGATAACCAGCCAAAGAGCCTCGGTTTCCAATCAATCCGTTCCGGGTCTGAATCCCGTACCACTTCAACTTGGATAACATGGTAGTACAATAACGCACAAAATAAGTGCAGCTCAAAATTCAATTCAAGGCAAATAAATATAAACAGAACATAAAACATGCCAACTTCCTTCAAATATCACATAAAACCTCGACACATCCTGGTTATCTAGTAACAACATCTAATATCGCAGACCGAAGGATTCATTTTCGTTTTTTCTATTGTTAATGTACGTAAAATAGTTGAAGGTGCCTGTGATTCTCCGATTGAAATAGGAGTTGGTTGATTATTTATGACCCAGATAGTTGGAATATGTACCATGCTAAGAGTCATCCACTGGCTGAAGTCCGAGTGCCAGATCCATTAGGCTACATTTCCACCAAAGTAGAATTTGACAAAGACGACTGCCAAATGGATGTTAGTGAAGCAAGTAGTGTTAGATTAAAACTGCTGCTGCAATACCAAACAACTATCATTGACAATACTCGTGAAGTAAATTTCGAAAAAGCGAAATGCAGAAATTTTACTTTCAGACCTTATAGAGTTTTTACCCATGTTGTTCCGTAGTCTTGGCTCAATATATATATATATATTATATATATATATATATATATATATATAGAGAGAGAGAGAGAGAGAGAGAGAGCTCATATCAAATTGCAGAAATTAGGCACAATAAGGTGAAGATATGTGTGCCACTGAAGTGTTGGTTAATTTTTAGACAACCGCTAAGTGTTTTCTTGCAGTGTACTCATAAACGACTTCTTGAAACGCTCTCATTTTACGACACGTTTAAAGCCTCTTCCAGCTAAGTCCTATTCACTGTCTACACGCAGCAGCGATGCTTCTCAAAAAAGTGAGAGGGAGAATGAGTACGTCTGGTGCTTAGAACCTGACTAGAAACATGAAGACCTGTCTAGGAGAGCTAAAAAATCCTGTCTCCAAATATATGGTGTACATGGGTTCCACAATCCGAAAGGATCGAATGGTATATGAGCCTGTTTTGGACACTGGCAACTATGGGAACGAGCTCCTGACGCTGCTCTACTGCATCTATAAGACTTCAAGTCAAAGGCTCGGGAGTGGTCCCTTAAGATAACCACCTCTTTAGGTCTGTATGGTATCTCAACCTTGGTACAAACTATGAGACTTTGTGTAGTACACCTCTTGGTGCTCATATTGTGCCAAGTTTGTGTTTTAATAAATTAATTAAAATCTTTGGAAACTTTTATCTACTGGTATTACAGAACGACAATCAAAACGACGGAACTTCGACATTCCAAAATTGGGTTCCAATCTACTCGCTTATGTTAACTTATCTCCACGTAACTTATACTCTTTAGAGTATACTGAAATAGCTTGTCCTTTCACATTCCCTAAGTAACGTATTTTCTAGATGGCTAACAATTTTGCATCAAAGCAGATTTAAACCTTATTTCAGATTTTTGAAACCGTAATGACGCATTGTCAGTGTTGTATGATCATAGTCTTTCTCATTTCTAGCACCATAAGTCGACAATTTGTGATGCCCAAGCTCTCAACCTGCTGGAAATACACAGTAAAGTAAACTTATGAAGAGTAATTTTTGAAGAAATACCCCTAGGAATAGAAGTGTTAAATTTCCTTTCTTTGAGGTAACAGTACAGACACACGTAAGTAAGAAACAGATATAAAATACAGTTTACGCTCCATCACCGATTAAAGCATCAAAAAACAAGAAAGAAAAGTGAATTCAACATCTACGGACGTCGTTTACTAAAATTATTAATTGGATAATGTTTGGAACATAACCTATTAGTCATTGTCATATAAAATGCAATTCAACATCTCCAAAACCTGCTTTCATGATTTTAATCAATGTTTAGTTTACCTTAGAAATGGTATAATCTTTCAGATACCCAGAACAACTGTTGGATCATTTGTAAGCTATTTATTTTTAATATATCCAACTAACAAAGCTTTAGTTATCAAACACTCCTGCTATATTCAATTTTAGCAATGTCACTTCATTCCATTTTATTGTATGGGTGTAAATATATAGTCTTATAGATGAGCTTCTCCCTAGATTTCCTTATTAAGTAAAGGCCACCATTGTAGATTTTCTCAAGCTTTCGTGCCGTAACAATCCTAATACTCACTTCTGTATTTGACCACATGCACAGCGTAGTATTGGATAAATAAAACTTCGTCTGTGATTCGCAGAAGGCTTTGGAAATTAACGTTTTCCAGCAAAATTATGCCTTTAAGCCCCACTACTCTATTCTCCAATAAGAATCCCGATAAAGGTAATGTAGTTCACCCCTTATATGGCAACAATATTTTAAATCCCTACATCATGTCGCTGCTGTCTTTGCGTATCAATAGCATACGTCAAAAGTTAGTTTCGTTTCGACAATTCAAGCAAATATGGATAAGTTTTTTATTCCACAATAAGGCCACTTACATTTAATGTTATACTGAGTCTTATTGTCATATTTCACAGATATGTTGCTCTATCACTGAGTCTGTCTTTGCCAGCATCTTGGACAGACTCGATTTCTTAATATCGTTTTGGATGTGTGTTAAATGTCTTTGACTTCCACAGGCATGCAATTGATTTACCTGTTACACCTAACAAAATCATCAGCGTCAGTCTCACCACACTCCTAACCGCATTTACAGAGGGATATTTATTAACACCATCAAGACGAGAATGTCAAACAGTAACCCAATTATTGACTGTCCTATTCTTTTGCGTCATGCATCCCAGACTGACATAAAAGCTTAGGCTAAGGTTTCTTTACACAATATGAGACCTCGCACCACGCAAAGATAACCCCGGACTATTTACACAGAATTATTCTGCTTGACTTCCTCTACTGTGGTCTTAAAAACTTCAGACCTGTTCCATATTAATTCTAAGTACCATGGTTAACTCTTCCCAAAATATGTATTCTGTATCACATACAAAATATGCGTAACACTGGGCGCTGATATGTTATTAGAATGCCACACTAGTGAAGAACGTAAATCCAAAACACAAAGCAGTGGAGTAACAGCTTTTGACATATAACGCCTACTGGATATAAAAGTGAATTTCTGGTTCAGCCAAGTAAAACCACGCATGACATTTACAACCAGTCCACTTTTAACTCACCACAAAGAGTCCTATGCATAATTTACACCTTGATATATATACGTCGCCGCATCATCCAAGGACAAAATATTGAAACCACCGCAACAGCTGATCCCTGTGTGAAAGCTGTTTGAAGGGTACCTGATTACTTCAATTTTCAATTCGTCCTCAGGGTTTGAAGTATTTGGTCTAAACTTGATAGTATATATCCCTGTGAAGATTCACTTCCTCTTTGGAAGCATTGGTACTTCCCTGTAGCAATAATTTCCAGTAGTTTATCCCACTAGAGTATACAGTAGGAAACAAAAGAGTTGAGGTGAAAAGATAGAAAACAAACAGATCTACCAAAGTCGAGAGGGATGAAACAAATATATCTAGTAAAGAAACGTAAAAGCAGTGTGAAATATTAAAAAGGGAAAGGTGTTGGAAATTGAATCAGAAGGGGAAAGAGAGTTTCATTAGGACAACAGCTGTATTTATACTGTCCCTCATATTGAACTGCTTCCCTAATTAATATCCAAATTCCTTGCAAGCCTTCTGTTAATTCTCTCGGCTGATAGAGTTTTGTCAAAGACATTCAGCAGTGAATATCCTGAAGAAAATACTCGAGGACAAAGTGGGTTATTGGCATCAGAGATCAAATCCCCCTAAGGTTGACTCCATTCAGAAGTGCTTCTTTATATTGGTGGGTTAGAATGTCAGTGTATGAGATTTGCTTCATGTCATATAGGCTCTGCTTCTATCATATATTAGGCCGTTTAAGTCCAGAATCTCAAGTGGGTCACTATCTTCTTCTAACAGCTCCTTTGGTTATCACTACGTGCATGTTATCGAAAAGATAATTGCCTCTTGTTAGAATGGTGATGCGAATAAAATATGAACTTTGAAGTGGGATCCGATGCAAGTGCTTTATAAAGCATCCAGAGCACCTCAAGGGCAAACAGAACTAACCTGATTGCCAAAAAGTAGACAGATTTTATAGCTTTGACCGTGTAATAGGAATAAAAATGAACGCTAGTGTCCAATATTTCAATCGTAAGAAGTCCACGTAATCTGGCGTCCAGGCTGCCCTTAACAACACTCTAGACCAACGAGGGGAGAATATAACGCGTACAGACGCTGAAGGATGTATTTGTTGACTATGATTCGGAGATAGTGTATAATTAGATAATCGCGCCACAACGAAGCTGCCGAGCTTTTGTCCCTTAAAAATTGTACTGACTACCATATGTTTCAATCCGCATGGATACACAAACTGATCGGTCTGCAGTGAGAAGACGAAGGTTCAACTGAGTTGACGAATTTCTTTGATCCCCCACAGTAGGCTTCCGAGACAAGCATCCTGTATTCCACTACACCATGGTGAGTACGCCTTCTCACATCGAATCTTTCCTACAGCTCTTGGTGGATATTCAAGTCACCAATGAAATGAGCACTCTCTCTGGAAATACTCAGGTTAAGTTAGTGTCTTCGCCGTGGTGCTTGACTGAAAACTAAGTGTATATGCAAACAAAGATAATTATGAAGAACTAAGAAACATTTGTACAGCAAGAGGGAAATGGAAACCCTCTATAAAAGGCCATCTACTTTTTACACCTGACTGACCAACCTTAGTGTTTCGCGACATTTTGGCTAATTACACAAACTCCCGATTGCATACAGATGATAGAAATGTGGGTCTGGATAAACTGGACTAACTCATTCTCCCAAATCGAAGCAAATGATCCGTTTATTTTAGATTTTGAGAGTTTCTGTAAGTGACTCATTCTGAAATGGTTGGCGGTATTCCACAAAAGAAAAACGGCATATTCGTCTTACGATCAGGATGAGGGCTTTAGTCTTTGGATTCCTGGGGATTTTGGGCTCAGAGGAAGAAAAAAATTACAGAGGTCGAAACAGAAGACTTTTCGTCATGCACTACGAGTGGAAAACTTATCCCTTTTTTAAGATATCATGGACATGGGGGACTTCGTCTTCCTAAATTCCTCTCACTAATTCGGTGTTCTGTTGTTTATATAGTATAAGCCCTCTAGATCTATTTTCGACTATTTTATTTACCTAGGACGAGAGCCTTCTTTACAAGAGGTATGAAGGATGAACTCTGAATTAAACAGAAGTCATTCCTCCATAATGGCGAATAGGAACAAGTCCTAGTGTGGTGAGAGCTGTCTACTAGCCAATTGATTGACAGTAATTGAGGTCAATGTTTATGTATCAAATATTAGTCATGCTGTGGTGAGAGATGGTCGCTAGCCAAATTGGTTGACAGTAATTGAGGTCAAGATCAAGATGGACAGGCGGATACAGTAAACATATAGATGAACTGACACAGCCACAAGAGGTGCAAGGTTAACTGTGTGTGAGAAACAACCAATCAACAGACTGTATTTTCTACTAACATTAACCTACAATAATGTACATCAAAATCTATAAATACGTGTTGATTTTCCGTAATAAACGTTCTGTTGCCTGGCCCTTGTCTCCTGTTGTTACACTGGTATGATACCATGTAATAATTTGGAGGTTCCAGTTAGGAAGCTACTTCACTCCTATTTATAATTAGCCTTCTGTTATTCGAGCAATCTGTTGACCGGTTTTGTATGCTAATCTGTTCATCAGAACTTGTGCAGCCAGTTTGCATCTTCCAGGTAGTATGGAAACCTATATGGGCTGCTCGAAGCCCTATCCGGTTACAGGTAAAGATTAGGTTAAGTACGTTAAGATACTACATTTTACACATTATTCCAACTCTTAAAACCGAAGGAGTTTGAGTAAATTTGTTACGTCTGCTGAATAAATAACCCTTTGGAGAAACGGACTCGTGGTGTTCAACCAAATACAAAAAAGCTGAACTATTCTATACAGACTTGATCAAATTAGATTGGTCCAAACAGAATTATATTAGTAACAGACTGCCAAAGAACTGCAGTATTATCGTTCTTTTGAACGAAATGCATCAGATCAAAGTGGTAAAAGTGTGACGTCGTCTGGCATACGAATACCAAGACCAAAGGGGGTTAATATAAAAACACTCCCAGTTCACAGATATGTTTATTCAAACAGTGAATGTAAAAGGCTATATAAAGTACATCTTTAGTGTTTAAAGGTGCGGAATTAGACGTAACAGTGAGCTTCTTTCGGAACTGAAGTATATTCTGTGCGAATACCTTGCAAAAAGTCGTGAAATTGTTTCGGCACACCAGGTAGGCTACGGGGCACTGAAACCCAGTATCATTAGCCGTTGTAGTTTGTAGGTGAGCGGGTAGTTGTAAGTTGTTGGAAATATAAGAAACAGATGTACATCCAAATGCACTTTCATTTTGGATCGTCATTACTGCCAGTACATGATGTAAGTGAGCTTTTGTAAGTGTTCGACTGAAAGCTTTTGATGAAGTTGGGTGACTGCAAACCAACAGCTTTAAGAATGACGTGGTATTCTAGGAAACCAGTTGATAAGGCTTCTTGAATGTTTTTGAAATCGTTTCCTGCTGGTTTCGGCTAGAAGTGATGCCGAAGATTAGGGTTTGCCAATATATCCTCCTAGGCCTAAGCTACAGCCACACTAACTGCTGATTCCTTAGCCTGGCTCAACTAACCTGGCAACTAATGTCCACTCACATGGCTATACTTCATCGAAGTGTAACTGTAATGGGGAGGTCACTGATTGGTTCCTATGAGAATTCGGTTATGTCGGAATTACCTCTAATGTGTTAGATCATGCTTGGAATCGTGCACCATCTGTATACATGATTTGCAGAATAAAGCTGATGTTATTATATATTAGAAACATTGAAAAAACTGAGAAATTGTCTTACCCAAGAAATAGATCAGCTAGTTCGTGTGTTAATGCTTTCCAAGATTTTATACAAGGTTAACACGCATACGTATAATTCATGCATCACTCCGTAAAGGCTTCTTGTGATTCTTTCCGACCTTCCGCCCCTTGTTTTTCTTCACCATTATAGACTGGCTTTCTGGCTGATAATGAAGAATCACATTATCTGGCGAATGACAATCACAATTAGAGCAGATCTCGTGACCCCAACTGCCCCAAATCCTAAAACTATTTGCGAAAACTGCACAGTTTCTCCTGCAACTCATAATCCGTAAAAGATGTGGGCTATTATCTTTGTACTAATAGTCATATTACTACCTGTAAAGCGCGAAAAAGTCTAGTAAATTTATGACGAACGTTCGACTACAAATGCTATTGATTGATGAGTTCTTCGTCTGTCATTTTGTATGGATCATTGCGCTGATTAAGGAACAGCGATCAAGAAAAGTGAACGCATGCTATCTTTTGGATTATATGACCTGCCATTATGATAGGGCCACTAGGATCACTTCTATAATCATGACCTAAAAATCATCCCAGCCCGGTCGCAAGTACTGTTTGGTTAGCGGGTTAGTAATGCTTGCTCATCACTGCTTTTGTGATTTCATATATGCCTGTGGGGCCTCTATAACACATGTTCTACGGCCACTCGTATGACGTCAGTGATTAGATAACTCAGAAGAATGGAATTAGTAACCAGTTGGGAACTGATTTGTAAGACTTTCTTTGTCTGCTGAATGATGAATGCCCTTCAGTTTGTTAGATTGGGTGTTCCTCACCTAATTTGCCTTCTACCGTGCGTTTGGAAGTAAAGGTTCATAAACACCATTGGTCTTCTTCAATATTACAGGTCTTCGATCGGTAATCTGAGTCGGCGTTTTGATGAAAAATCGGTTTCAGTGTAAACAGCGCTGTTCAGAGGCGATTGCTGGACATGTTTATAAATCAACAGTCCATGGGAAAAAAGCTAACACTTGAATAAGTATTTTACCCACTTGATAACTTGATTTCTGGGGAATTTCGCTTTGAAATCGAAAATGTTGCTGTCTAGTATACTTCTTGTCTATCACTACTACATTTTGAAGATTGGACGGAGATGCACAGCTGCACAGGCAGAGAATATATTCGTATTCATTGCATAGTAATACGAGTGTTGTTTACATATGGCATCGTGGAGGCTGAATACCGTAATGCAGATTTTGTTAAGAGTGAGGTTCGTCATTCACATAGACAAAACCATTTTGGTAAATAATCAAAATCCTCGTCGCACTGGAGTTATTAATGTTTGGGTATTGAGGACCTACGACACAAAAATTGATAAAGGAATTGTGTAGATAATTCTTAGTCGCATTACGGAAATATTACAATTGGTAAACTCATGTGTTTTACGCGAGCAACTTTACGATATTGTGAATAACCTAAAATTGAGCCTTTTTACGCAACCCTTAACTGCTGCTCGTTTTTAATTAAATTTGAGTGTTGATGTCTGGGACTATACCACGTACACTACTTCTACCCCTGTGTATCAATTTCACAGATAATACTTCATTAACGCTTTTTGTCTAAGAAACTGTAATTGCTTACATCATTTATATATCTAACATATTGGTGATGCCTGCGAATTGGCGTCCCTCATGTACTAACAAACGAAGACATTATTGTCATTAGATACACCACAAGCCTTCAATTTTCCAGTTGTCCGCTTCCAAAATACAAGGAGTGTATTGGTGGATTCGACTGAATACAACGGAATTATCTATTCCACGCAAAAATGAAAAACAGTATAATTCAAGCGTTTAGTAGACATTTAATAGATGTGACAGCTTCAATAACCACATGCAGCTTGTTATACCCTATGGACTTCAGTTATCATTAGGGAGTAACCCTTATGATAGTCGCATCTTCGGATAATAGACAAGTTTGAAGGAAAACCACAGTCAGCTCTGCTTAAAGTGGCTGTTGTACCCAAGTACGTGTTCGGTGGGCTAGTACGTTTAGTTTGATAAACCACAATTTTTGAGCTTGATTGCTTGGTAGGATGTTTGGGGGAAGACCACGGAAACTGTGGTACTTATTCGGCACACTGTAATCAGGGCACACGTGTGACTAGGTTCATGGATGCTGTGTTGACGATTGCAACATTAGCATGGTCTTCACTGAGTCCTGTGACTTTTTTACTTTCACAGCTGACCAGCAGTCTATAATGCTGCACGAATGCGAAACCTAATAAAGTTGAATGTACGTAGGAGGGTATGAAGGGCATGTTGCAAACGAAGTGGAGACTAAATTACTGATTCAGGTGTTTGATTACAAAATGGACTCATTCGAAACTTAAATTGTGTTCCTTTGCGGCGATTCGGGCGGTTACTTTCGAGAACACGGATTGATGTCGGCTACACAACCGTTGAATTAGAGGTGGCACCGGATTGCATTTTTGTTTAAGTTTTGGATTTCTTATCAGTGCGCAGTCATTACCCTACCGGAGATCGAACTCAGGATCTTCAGATAACTAGGCGAGATCGTCGAGCATTCAGCAACTGAGATGCGGTCCAATGTTTCGTGAATGCTGGTTTCCAGCTATCATGATACTATCAGCCAATGTCATTGGCGTGTATCTGTTTGCATATCAGATCTCAACTTCCAACTGGAATTTCCAGGAAACTGAAAACCAAGAAGTATGGCACCGATGAAGAGCCCAAAATTAAGAAAAATTAGCCAAAACTCTTTAGTTACCATTGGCTGTCTAACTTATATCATTCCATCATCTTATTTGAATATTGAAGTGTTGTTGCTACTCGTTTTTCTGGTTTTCATTATAAGGCGGGGATAGAATGCTTACTTGTGGGGGCAAAGTTAAACTTTAAGCACTACTAACCATCAATCAGCGAAAGACCTCGGATGCACCAATCACATGAAGGAGCAGCTTTTGTGCTTGGCATACATGTATTTATGAAAAAATGCAAAATAAACTGTAGAAAAGTGTTACAGAAGATACCTTCCTCACACATGTGATAAAAATAGCTCTCAGTTTTAGGTTGGAGTATCAACAGAGTATAATTCCATTGTGGATGAAATTTATTTTGATAAAGCCTCATAGTGTAATACAGTCATATTTCCTGAGCAATAAATTGTGTTAAAAACGTCATCTGTAAATATTACTATTTAACACTGAGACTTTATCAGAATAAATTTCAAACACAATAGAAATATGATGTGCCATAGTGCACAATTTCTATTCTTATATTAACAGAGCAACTAAACCATATTCTGTGCAAGTAATTATTTAAGTCTTCTAGCCCTAACAATAACCTAAATCTTTCCTGAACCGAGGCATACCGTGAAAATATGCCTTAACTAACCCTAGTGTCGCCTTTATTGGGCTTACCTAACACTAACTTGTCCTCAGCCTAAACTGTAATTTAATCTTTCTCTAACCTAGGCTGAAACTTCCCAGAAATTGCATTTAATGACGTAACACTTCGACGAGCATACTTTATTGGTGTCGACAGCAGTACTTGACAGGTTTCATTAACTTGCTTTAGTGAGCGTTTTAAGATCATTGGTGTAGCCGCACTACATTGGTATTCAGTGATGCTTAAAGTTTAACTTGGCCCTTTTGAGTGTGCATAAGTCAGCACCACTTAGATCTGTTGCATAAATAATCGGTTGTTGGCATTTTCGTTACAAATCTCCGGAGCATGTGTTCCCTAATTTATGCACTAACAATTAGAAATCACAATGACATCACATTCTGCTCTCTTTGAATAAGCTCCCCAGTAGTTAGAACTAAGGTTAAAACCGGTTTTTGATTTCCATATATAGTTCACAACCTGCTGAAAAATGCTTTTCTCCAGAAAATAATTTCAGCCAAGTTTCTTCACACATGTCCCTCGCTCCGGCATATTAGGGACCTTAGAGGACTTGATGATAACTGCGAGAGTATTTACCTGTGCAGCAGATATGCATTATACTAAATATACTCTATTCACATCATATTTACCATTGTGTAGCCTAGCCCTAATGGTAACTTCTTATTCAACATCTATCAAATACTTCTGATGTAGCCATGAAATGAGACAAAAATCAAAATGCTAGCCTCTTGTTCCCGAAGCACACTAGCTTAATTTAATTATTATCATACAGTATTCATGATTGTTTACATGTGTTTCATTCACGAATTATACGCATTTTGAATAGTTAGTCACGGTGGTATTTACGCGGTCATCTTAAAATGTCAAGTTCCAGCGGACCTTCTGGTGATGCCAGGCATCAGGAGACCGTCCTCGTGAGTTTTAATTGTAGTTTAATTTTTGTATCGCCTATTTCTAAAGTAGAGATGAGATAATGTTGACTAAGGATGAGTAGTCTCGTATATTGTTTTTTACTGTTATTGGCTATTTGAAAATGTTTTAATGACAATGATCTGGACTGTCTGATGAGCATTTTAGCTCTTTTGATGAAAAGCATCGGTTTCTGGACGCAATTTACCCACATTCTGGAAGAGTGCTCTGTATTCAAACCTAGTTTGAGAATGTTGTCCATGTTGTGATGGTCTGTTCACCCAAGAAGTTGAGTTAGAATGAATGAATTCGCTAGTGGCGAAACTTGAACAACAGAGGGTTACTGAACTTCCATTTACCGAAAAACACTGATACGCGGCTACCCACCGATGGTCTGGTGCATTGTGAGGCAGTTCAACCTGTTATGCGATACAAGGATGAAAACCGAAAGTGCCGAAAATAGGGTTTTTTCGATCATATGAGCCTCTCAATCGTGTTCCCTGGAAATATACAAACAGTGGTAATGAAATCAGGTGTATTGTAGGAAATACCGATTAGTGAGAATGTGAAGCTTAGTCGTCGGAAGGTTACTCTGGTGGAGCCGTTGATTTTATTCGTAAGTGGTGGTACATTCGGAATAGGTTTGCGAAAGGCTACAGATGGTTACTCATAAGCTGTAAACTCTAGTGTGGGTCCCGAAAATTTTGGGGCACAGTGGTTGAAGGCTGTTAGGGATGTAGCCCAAAGTCGTCTGCAATTGCGACGACATCTATTCGCTGTTAACTCAAATCTATGTCTTCACCTATTTTAGTTTCACTGCGTTCCTGTGCTTTTTGGGATTCATATGAAAACAGTTGAATTGCAGCGCACATATAGAGTTTAGTTTCTTGTGCATACTATGCGTCTTCGAAATATTTATGATGCCATAAATGAAGCCGAGGGATATTGATTTAACGAGGAACGCTGCAGGTTAGGATTAACACAGACAGACAGCCAATACTTCTAACACCTACACTTGAGATTATGCACTTTGTGCAACATAATCTCTTTGGATGTATCATCCTATTTCTTCCATGTTTTGATGCTCATACTCTACCCAGTGTGCGTTTAAATAATCCCCTTCATAAGAATCCTACCTAGAGGTACACATTGTATAGAAGCGTGGAATCACTGTCCTGAAACGTCAAAGAAAGAAGTGCGAATAGCGTTATTTCCCCCGAAATTATGAGGAAATGCAGACTTTTCCCAACTGATCGTAACGTCAATCAAAAAGACTTTGAGGTTTACTAGTTTAATTTATCCTAATGTTGAAATATGTCGGAAAACGCATTTGGTACGAAGTCATATTTCACCATTGCCCAAATTCTACACTTCTGTTATTCATAGTGATGTTGGTGTGTTATTTAATTATACTATGCAAAGCAATTTGGACCATCGGGAAACTTTTATTAGCTAATTAGTTGTGGTCACAGAGCATTGTAGTGGGAAAGACGACAAGTATGCAGAGTCTTCTGAACACCTTGAGCAGCAATCTTCGTATGTTTGGCATGCGATTCGCCCCTGTAAAATGTAAGATCCTACTACAGAACTGGACTACGTCAACTCTTAGCTTAGTGATAGGGTGTGAAGTGATAGAACATGTTGACCACTTCACCTATTTGGGAAGTTGTATCAGCACCAATGGATTGATTGGTGACGAAATCTCAGCACGGATCCGAAAAGCTCGAGCTGCTTTCGCTAACTTACACCGTCTCTGGCGTAGGCGTGACACCCGGCTGGAGACAATAGGTGACATGGCTCAAAATCGTTGTCAATGGCGCAGATGTATTCAGTCTCTGTGATCTTTCATATTCCTTTCTACCATTACTCATTCTGTTTCACTCTTATACTTGTCAAAACTCTATTGATTCTCTTCTCTCATTTTCTTGTCTACCTTTGTGTGCTATTTGGAACGTGGCAACTCGAACTGCTGCACTTCGGTGCCAAGTTCTATTTTGAATCCAGCAGCAGCAGCAGACACCCGGCTATCAACCAAGGGACCTGTGTACTGCTCATCAGTTCGCTCCGTCCTTCTCTATGGCTCTGAAACATGGCCAATACGAGTTGAAGACATGAAAAGGTTGACTGTTTTTGATCATAGATGTCTACGATATCTCTCTCACGTTAGGTGGTATAACAAGGTAAGTAATGTTGACGTTAGGCGTAGTGTTGGGCAAAGAGGGAAAATCAATCGAAGAGGCTATAAAGGTACATAGATTGAGATGGCTAGGTCACGTGCTGCGCATGCCTAACCATCGCCTTCCCCGACGGGCATTACTAGCTGATACAGGTGCAGGTTGGGAAAAAGTGGTGGCCAAACAAAAACATGACATCAATCCATTAAATCCTTATCAGTTAAACTGAGTCAGGTAGGGAGATGAAGGCTTCAGGGTTGAGGCCCTCGGGACTCTAAGAATCAATGGCTGGAGACAATAGGTGACATGGCTCAAAATCGTTGTCAATGGCGCAGATGTATTCAGTCTCTGTAAACTTTCATATTCCTTTCTACCATTACTCATTCTGTTTCACTCTTATACTTGTCAAAACTCTATTGATTCTCTTCACTCATCTTCTTGTCTACCTTTGTGTGCTATTTGGAACGTGGCAACTCGAACTATGTTCTATGTTGAATCCAGACAGAAAGAGGACAAGTTCACTATAATTTCAACGCAAGTGGCTATTTCTAAACTTCTTTCTGGCGGTAATTTTCTCTTGGATCGATATGAGTGTGGTGGTAGGATTAATATTAAAAAAGTGATGTGGCTTTGATGAGCTTCTGAAGTTACTTTATGTTTATTGAAATTTACGGAAATATCTCTTGATCGTATTAATCTTAAGGTACTAAGAATCTGATGATAAAAAACACATTGGTGCCCTTAAGTAACACCATCATATCCTCTGACGTTTATGCTTGATTCTGGGAGTTTGCAGTTATTTTCTTTCTTTTATAGGGTCGTCTCAAGTCAGATTACATCAATACTGCTTTGTACTTTGCTCGTCTGGGGACAATCTTCTGCTGCTTTATGTTCTTTTTTGCACCACTTTTTTCCCGTCTTCATCCATCTGAATTAGACATTTGGTACAGAAGAGCGCTGCTAGCAAGTGCGGCGACATCAGCTTTGCGTTTGCATCAGCGATTGAAAAGCATGAATACGGGATTTTCTCGACAGGTCGTAGAAGTCTTGATCGCTGAAGATTCATCTCACTATTTGCTCTATTCCATTATGTTTGCTATTTTACCACCAGTGACAGGTATATTATCTAAATTGAATGTTATTAGTATGTATTCTTAAATGCTTTTTGCCAATATTTATGGTGTGATAATTTATTTACTGACACGAATCTAAAACAAGTAACAAATACTGATAAAGAAGGATTCCCTTACTTTCCTTTTGTATATGATGTATAAATTGTGAATAGCGTAACGATCAGACTAAATGTAAATGGGTATGGGAAGGCACTAGGGATTTGAAATGCAGTGAATTACACTCCAAATAATGGAGGTGATTTGTAGCTCGGATGGGTGATTTTGATATATTTGTGTTTTCTGAGAATACTACTAAACCTGAACTACACTCCTACTATATCGTTAAAATGATAAACAGTTGCCTTTTGGTCAGTCTGGTAATACTAAGAATTGTACTATGAGTAATAATAATAGCGAAACGAATCAAGACATGTAAGAGGATTTATTTTCATAACAGTACCGACAAAATCAGTATAAGCAAGATAACAACAATAGCAGTGCGAACAGCTAAAAGGGTGAGAGATACTATCATGATAAATTCAAAGCCACCATCATTTCCTTTTGAACACCGTGACCTGATTTATGGAACCTAATCGTACAATTCTCTTCAATTGTATGTTTCAATTTGCCTACTGACAACGGTGAAAGTATGCATTAGTATCATGTCCGTAGTGTGTAAAATGATCCCTATGGGTATCACAGCTATCTTTGGTGTGTTGTAACCTTTCGGATAGATGTTGGGTCATGTGAGTAAACAGTCGTCTTTTCGTATGTTCTATGTACTTGCGTCTTCAAGTTCTCAAATTGATCTACACAGTTAAAAGTTCTAAGGATTGGCATTCGATCTTTTCCGCCTTACTTCAGCACCCGATTAGTGGTTTTGAGTAGTACGAGCTTTTCAACATGCTTACTTATACTTTTTCAGGCTTTCGTCTAACTATTTTTGTATCGAATCCTTTTATGGCAGACTAAAATTCGTGCTTTCTGAAGCTGTTGGGGCAATTTTATCGGGCATCATTCCTCTAGAATACTTGTTGATAAACATGTAAGGATATCCACTCGTAGATAAAATGTCCTTCAGGGTTTTTATTTCATATTCAACTATACCGTCAATATTTTCCGTGCTATTTTGAACAGTGTCCAAACTGAGATCCCTTTGTACAATTTCTTTATTGTCCCTCTTACATTCCTAGGGGCCTGCAAGGTTAGGGTCTTTAAAACCAAGTCACGGTGTTTTAAAGAAAATGATGGTCGCTTTAAATCTCACTTTTTATAACTTGTACGTATAAAAATCGAAACCTGGAGGGTATGCAGTTGAAGTTTGTAACCGAGCTTAGGAACTAAGGTATTGATAACCATAAAACAGAGGTAATCGAAGGATTCTCGTCTATTGCAATATGAAAGCAGGTCATGTACATTGGTTTTGATGTCCTCAACCTAATTGATAAATTTTGATCGGTAGTATCAACTGAACGTAAAAGTAGTTGTCTTTGGTGGTAGGTTAAATCCATCAGTTTATCTGTCTGTATCAATGTCACTTTTCATGCTGAGTATCTAATTATAGCCTATTTGTGTTGTCTTTTTGTAGTTTCCCTAGTGCCTGTCTTCCTTTTCGCCTTGTTGCACGTGGCAAGTTTCACTAATACTCTTCTGAATGTAAGTTAAATTCAGTACTGGTTTTTGTAGGGATTTTGTTTGATTAGTTGGAGGATTTCATTGTGAGCTGACATCAGTCAGAGAACCATTAAAAAACCTGGGAGTACCGGACAGCCGGAGAGTCTCAAACTAGGATGGAACAGCTGTCCATTACTCCCAGGTTTTCTAATGGTTCTCTAACTGATGTCAGCTCATGATGAGATCCTCCAACCAAATTCAGTATTGTTTGATTTTTTGTTTTTAATGAATTTATGATCTTCAGTGATATAGTTTACTTCCTTATAAGATGTATTCGTTTAGCAAAACACGCTAGTATACTGTTATTTGTTGGATGACGTTTCCATCACAATCTACTCATTAATTTTTTATTGCCTTCTACCGAAAACCTTGCTATATAGTATTAACAAATCTAATATGATATCACAGTATCCAAATTCATGTCTTATGCTAAGGATTCAGTCAAAGCTGTGTTGTACCACAGTGAAAAACCTGAGAAATGTTATGGTACTTCAGAGAATGGACTATTTCAGTCGACTTACTTCACCATACCTTAAAGTCCCATCAATTGACATCACATGGTTTTAAAACTAAGATTTGAACAACACTATGTTATTAATAAGGAATTTAAAGTAGTTCGGGTTTTTGTTGGTGTTCTTTTGTACAGTGATATGACCTTGCGAAATACATACTTCTGATTTATGAACAAAGTGAGACCATTGTTTTTCCTAATCGTACGTATTGTTAGCTTGTGTAACACATCCAGTAACAATAAGACTAAATGTAGTGTTAAGTAGAGGACGGCAAATCAAACGGTGAAGTTTTGAAGCTCCATCTATCGGTGTCAGTACGGCATGGTTTACTCATTCAGAGTTACTGCTTTCTTACATGAGGAATGAATTAGGATTAAGTTGGAAAAGCACATGAAGTCATTGTTTCAGTTTGAGTCACCTACAGGGGAGTCGACTGACTACAGTCCTCAGGGTTTTAACAATAAATAATAAGACACTGATGGTGACGTGGACAGATGTATTTACTCTCAATGATTTTCCAAATTCTCAACGTTCCCACAGTCAGCATGTAATTATCCGTTCTGGCGTAAATTTTCGCCTGTTGTTATTTCATTGCATTGCTTTTCTCGACCTTTATGTGTGGTTCTACAAAGTGTGACAACTTGAACTGATTCTTTTTTATGCAAATTCTTTTGTTAGTAATTGAGTTTATTTTAGTCCACCCGCGCATTATTTGTTCCGCCTAGCTTGACACAGGGTTCCTGTGGCCCTGTGTTGTTTTCGGTCTGTCAATGGCGCGGATTACCGGTAGGAGGTGAACTCATTCGTAAGCATGTTTTGAATGTCACCTACCAAAACAGTCACCAAACATCTACGTAATTTTTATGACTTTACTACATAAGACTAATATTACCTTTGTAGTCAGACGTAGTTCTTAATATAAAATTGATGCATAAGGCAGCAGTCATGTTATTCCCATGTTTATGTTTTTAGGTATCTGTTTGTACAAATAACGGGGCTACAGGTGATGGTCCAGAGGTCTCAACGCGTTCACAGAATTCATCCTATTTTCATCAGACATTACAAAAATTAGTCAATAAAGTAAAGTCAAATGATCAGAATATTTTGCGTATAATTGCACTGAACGAGATAATGCTGATGATAGTATGCATATTTATGGCTATTTCTGGACCTAGGATTTTTGTTCTGCCTTTTATTTACTATCCATTCTTGAAAATGCGTTATAACTCAAGACGTAATCCTTATACTCGGTAAGTCATTCTATTACGTATAGTAAAATGCGAAATCCATATTTATCAAATACCGGTTAATCAGCAGTATCAACATAGAACTTAGTGGAGTTCTGACATCAAAATAAGAAATGGAATCAAAAGTCGTAAAGTTCTGTAAGAAAAAGGAAGCGATAATAATATAAAAGAATATAATCCATAGTATGATAGAGCATGAACTCAGTCCATTGATTTTAAGTTACATCAATTGTAGTCATGGATTCCATAACTAAGTGAACCCTATGCAAGCAATCTACACTTCGCTACTAAGTGTCACTTTTTGTTGCATGCGTTAATTTTTAATGACATACATAATTCATATGGCCTAGGTTGACAAATGTTAGTTTGGTCATTAACGAACACTTCCTCCTCTGCATTAAAAAATTTAGTATTCTGATCTTGAACATTGTTGTTCAGCTGCCAGGAATATTGTGGATTTAGATTTTTTGCTTGTTACTTTTTATCAAGAATGTACATCTGATACACATTTCAGTGCTACAGTTGTTTAAAAAAAATCCTGGGATTCATGAGAGATGTTGGAATTCGGAAAGGACACTTGTTCCTCAAGTTGGCAGATATGTCTTGTTAGTGAGTACCAAAAAGTTCGAAGATTTATGTCGAGTGGCTCCAATACCTTGCCACAGTTTATTTCAGTTCCAGTTCATTTGGTTCAGTAATCGTATTTCAAATGCAATCAGCAGAAATGAATCAAAACCTGAGACTAGGCATTTACATCTGTCACTCTTCTGTAAAAAATATGAACATTTTATATTGTTTGCTTCAAGAGAACAAACTCACATGTGGTTTTGAAACGCCTACTAAGTCTTGAAAAATGCTCAGTGGTTGGTAGGCGGTGTCAGATTAGCCAGTCGTAGTGTGCAAAAATAAAAGTCGTAAACATTTCCAGTAGCCTACATCGACTGTTAATGTCCACCATATTGTTGGATTCTGTATGACTTAATAATTCATATTTGTTTTAATAGAAAAATGAAATTAGTGTTCATAATTTCACTGTTCAATATTTCGTTTACTTTGCTTTATTCCTATAGCAACGCGTTTTTGGAATTACGCATTGCATTGCAAAATGTCGCCTACCATTCAAAATGTCCGGCATTCGTTTCACGTATGATTTATGGGCTTATCTCTATTGTATCTCGGCTTGGATCAAGTGGTTATACAGGAAACTAATATGGAGTGCATTCATTCCCACTACGTGATTTCTTTGTGTTTCATGGTAAGTTTACTCAGTGGCGAATGAACTGAAATCTTGAGTTTCTTCTTTTTTCAAACTTATCAGTGACTAGGAGGTCTATTGGTGTAACTGTGTTCTCTCAACTGAATGGTTCAGCTGCGGAGCTTTCATTGTCTGTCTAGACAACGTCTTTAGCGCTTCAATTTGAAGTGAGCTTCCGAAATTCTCCACTAGTTATCAACCATCTCTTGAACGTGATCTGGTGTTTCTGGATACTTTCCTTATGTCTATTCTTCATGTATTGGCATAAATTATTTCGTTGACCTGGAAGTTCACCTTATGTCCATATCACTTCTTTGGTTGTTAAGTCGTATCTATACCAATGTGCCTGTTGATTTAATATCCGTCATTAGTACCCAACTTCTAGAAATTCTCTGTCATTTTCGGTATTTATTTTGCCTAGGATTTGTACATTTTTGCAATTGAATTAGTGTCTGTATTTGTCTGCACGCATTGGCATGAGGAAATAGATATCATGTCTTTTAACGGCCACTTAATGTTCTCGGATGCGAAGTCGAAGACTTTTCACTTCGCCCAATATAATAATCCTCACAACGTTGCAATTCATCTTGTAGATGAAGTTGGTTTTTGTTTTCTTTCTCTTTTGCGTCTTTCGGTTGGCGTAGTACAACTACAAAGTATTTCTCTTCTGTTCTCCTCAGGGCAGCAGTGTTTCACTGTGTTCTGCTTCTTGTGAATCATGTTTGTATGCAACGCCTTCTGTGTGGGCTGTTGTAATTGAGCATTTGATTTGTATAAGGTGATTTTCTTTATAATTGAGTTTCTAACTTTCATTTGCTTTTTCGCTTGACTGAGACATACAATTTTGTTCTCGGATTCCTCTTCCCTTGTAGATTTGATATCGTCGAAGCTGTTGTATTCTAAATCGTTTCTTCTAATTATCACAAATATGTTATTTATGTAAATTACTCAAATTTTGGGTTTGATTTTTGGTAGAATTATTGTTTCAAGCCTTTGCATAACAGTTTCAGCAATCCGTTCTTATGTGAGCCGTCCCATAGGTAACTCCTTTATCTGTTTCTATCTTCAAAAATTGAATTGGAAATGTTATTAGACATAAATTTCTGCATTTTATCCAACTTGTATTTTTGAGTGTTGAGGTAGATTTCCATCATTGCTAATTAATTATTGAGTGGTTTCATCTGCTAGTTGTAGTCCAGTCAACGTGCGAAATTCTGTGACATGCAACGATACCATTATTTGTATGTCATCAATGTCCATGGTTTTCTCTACAAATTGAGTTGGACATATGATGCACTGATCGTCGGATACTGTTAAATATTTAAGTTTTGTGTAGGGTTCTTTGGATTGGGTTGTCTAATGTTTGGATAGAATTCCTCGTGAACTGTTGGTATACATCTTTATGTTTGAGCAAGTCTTCAGCTTTCTTAGTGTATTCTCATTTGTCCATAAGTGCTGTGTCTTCCACTTGTCTGATGATAGTATGACGATGTTTTTTTCTATTTTCCAGCGTTATAGGGGCTTTCCGTTCTTGAAAACCGAGTTGTGTATGGTCGTTTCTGTTTGACCATAGATGCGATAGTTTAGCCTATCTCTCATTACTTCATCTTGTTTTGGTGGTTTTAGTAGTGATTCTAGAGTAGCGAAGAAATCCGTTTTTGAGGCATCACCAGTGTTGTAGTTCAATTCTTTATGGCGGTTTTGTTCGACTTTTGACAGTGGCTATTTTTTATCAAATTGACTGCGCGATCAATCGGTGCACTATCAATTTGTTGTTGTTTAGTTTTGATTAATTCATGCATGACAACATTTTGTTGTTGTCTTTTTTAGTTCATCGAGAATTCCCATTGTAACACATAGAAAATCACAACAAGTGATTCAGCGAAGAGACTATTTTCAACGAATTTATTATCAAGCTGTACAATAGTATATATATGGTTTTCAAGAAATTATATCCCGTGAAGGAATTAAATCATGAGTGTGAATACATATAATAATAGTATCCCTCACTGGATATAATTTCTTGAAAACCATATATATACATACGATTGTATAGTTTGATAATAAATTCGTTGTCTTTTTTCTCATCTACTTGACAATACCGTCGCGGCGGTTAACGCTGATAGAATAACAATCTTTTTTCTTTTCTGTCCTATCTTTTCCTTCTGAATGTCAATTGTGTGTTGTTACTTCCGGATGCGGTGGTGTGCATCTGTAATCAATGATTTGATCATTCATCTTCCTCATCATTTGGTTAAATTATAAATTATTTAAATTGGTTCCCTGATAGATACCTGCCTTTTGGCGAAATCCTTTCAGTTTTGAAGAGAAAAAAGCGTTTTCCTGTTGTAAGATTTAAGGATGATGTAGAGGATTTGAAGCTCAGGTGGATGATATCGGTGTAGTTTTGTTCTCTGAGCGGTATGGTTTAGTTGCAAAGTTTTGAAATCAAATTTAAGTATGCTGTGAAGGTTAGTCTAGGCATGCAATGAAAGCTCTTTCTAAACTGTAGGGTTGGGAAGGTACCCATTAACAACCAATCACGTTCAAGGTGGCTGATAAACTCATAGATAATTTTGAAAGCTCACTTCAAATTGAGGAATGCACTGAAAATGCTGCTTCGAAAGACAAGTGCTTCCATTTGCGTTAATGCGTAGGTAGTATATTCTAATGTTTTCATAGGTCAGGTGTGCAACTCAATGACGTGTTTTGACTGAGTGTTTGATTGTTTAACGTTTTCACATCAGGTGATTGGAATTCATTGTCTACGTAACATCATCATATGATGAAATAGTTATCTGAGTGTTAAGTCTTTAGATAAAGTAAAGTTGATGATGAAGTTGTTAATCTTCCCTCACATATGCGGTTGGAATATGTTTTACGCGTGCCTACTCACCACTCGTGATATGACCCTTAATATATGAAACTTGACTGTGGGATTTGCGTACATTCCACAACTGTAGTCCAAATGACAACTAGAACCGATTTATTAAAACTGCAGTTATCATATTTGTGATTGGTATTAGCATTTCCGTACTATACCTTTTTATCTACCTTACAATATCAGATTTCTTTGACTTTTGTTCAATGTTTTTCAAGTTTTATATTTCATCATGAGCGCTTCACTATGTTGTTTGACTTTATCAGTGTGAAGTATCTATTATCAGATATAAAAGCTTAAAGAACTGAATTTAACCGTTTTTCTCATTCTAAGACACTAAGGTTTACTACCTACAAGTCTTTACCAGTGGTCATTTATTTTTCCCCTTACGATGTATTGCAGGAGTACACGGTTGCCTAAAACTTGATTCGTTCACATAACTGGTTGTGTTGCAATAGCTGCTATATAAGTTTAGAATAACAGTCAGTCATTTGTGAAAAACATCATTCTTATGTTTTTTAATTTGCTGAAATGTGCACATGTTCCTCACGTTCTTATTGGTAATCCTTTTCGCGAACCATTTGCAAGTACACGTTTATGTTTTCACTGTAATGATTAAAATAAAGTGGGATGTAATAGTACAACTTGATTCGAACATTATCGTATATGCTACAACTCAGTAACAAGGTGATATTCCCAAATATCTGTTAAGAGATACTTTAGCCGTAATAGGTTAATGGGACCAGTTTGACATATTCTTCACGTTAAAAATATGTATTGTATAAAATACCGTCTAAAATGGTTAATCAATTGACAGGAATTATTTTCCCCACTAGACTGCACAAATAATCATATTTGATTTTTATTGTAGTAATGAAAACATTCTATTTTCGCTCTCTTTATTTCAGATAATTCAAAACGTATGTCAAGTACATTTGATTCACAAAACACTGGTGCTAGTTATGTACCATTGAACAAGTTACTTATTCATTGTGTGATTTAGTTTTTCTCTCATCCTTTTTGTCATTCACTTGTATTTGAACATCTAATTTGTGTTTTACTCCCTCACTATTTTTTGCCCATTGTTTTCACTGATCATCAATTAATCATTTGTTATGTATTTCCGAATACTTATTTAACTTCAATCATATTATGTTCACCTTTTCATATATTTAGTTCTTATGGTGAACAGTTAACTCTGTGAATTGTTCACAGTTAGTTCTACACCCGAGCATAAAGTGTTTCTTTCACAATGAATTATTCAACAGTTTTAAAATAGTGTTAGAATGTCATTGTGGAGAAACTTCTTTCTAATTTTGTGCATATCGCTTCCATTGCAGTTGGAACTGTGTAGTAGTTGTGTCTTTCCTGAGACAGTCATTTTTCATTTATCCTCCAAGTGTTAGCGTTTACTTGTGTCATTTTATTAAATAAAATTATTTTTTTTCTAAGAGCATTAGGTTGAATCATATAAAGTTTATTAGTCGTTGGTTTGTTATCCCTCTTTGGTATAATTTTTGATTGTGTATGCAACTATCTTAGTGTTAGGTGAGATGTTGAGTGATGCGATAGGCTTTGTGCCACTGAGATTTCCAGTTGTACCTCTAAGAAAACGTTCACAGCAGTCATTCGTTGTTTTGGTATACTTCACTTTTTCGTTGTCACACTATTGCGACTGTGCAAGTTTGAAATACTGACAGATTGATCAATCCTTCTTGTACATGCCATGGCTTAGGTAAAGGTGCAGTTGCTGATTCCATCTCACAAGGAATATTATGACTACCAGGCTCTGCGGTCCTTACGTGGTCGCCTTATGTATGTTGTCGCACTCGCAATCTGCAGGAATGGACCGACAGGTATACAAAAGTTACAAGCCGCTTGCGGCTTTACTCGCCATTTTTATAACGTCTCGCAAGTGTAGCCAGTGTTCATCTATACAGTTGGGAGGGTTGCCAGCTAAATTTGAGTTCAACACAAGTCAGGTAGCAGGTGCTACCATCTGTAGGGGACATCGTTATGAACACCACCAAATTACAAGATAAATCTGGCTCGCACTAAATCATGATCAGAGTTCAGGCCTTTGCTCTCGGAGTGGTCGTACTTAATGCATCCACACCATCTGAAACTGATAGCAGTATGATCAGTCCTAGTCCAGGCTTTAGTATTAGCGGCGGGCATCAGGTATTGCTGTAACTATGACTATGTTAGAAGTTTGTGCTAGCTAGAAATAGGTTGTGATCTGTCTAAATCTGAAGAAGGTGGTCATCATTATCTGACCCGCGACTGTGCAGACCCCACTGACTACCTAGACATCATACCTGTACATTCAACTCCCCAGCACACATGTGAAAGTTAATAATATTGTCAAACGAAACTATCATAGCATAAAATTACTCAGAGAAGGTAAAGCAAATTAAAGACTGCAAAGGAGTACTGGATATCCAGTAACTTATAAAAAACACGAAACAAGAATTTTTCATGAATATTTCTTTCTACTCTTTATTTGAATAACGGCTGCCGAAATCAGTACAATAGCATGAGATTTGTTGATGTAGATACATTCGACATTCGCGTTGCATTTTTTGACTGAAATGCGTATGAAACTAATGGTCATTGAAAAAGTAGTTAGTCTATACCCTTTTTGCAGTTGCTTAGATTAAGCAAATAATTCGGTATTTGAGTGAATCCGTTAAGTGAGTTACGAGGATAAGGCTACTTTCTTATTGACTAGTAACCATCGTTGTCGTTAGTCGTCCTTAAACTCTCTATGCCGACCACGTGATTTGAAATGACTCACTTCAGTCGGTATTGCTTGCTGTCCAGGATTCAGATGGTTTAAATTTGTTCGTTTGCCTGAATGCAGTTGAGCCACATACATCACTACTAGGCAATTCAGTGAAATGGTTGTTCAATATTTACATCGCCCTAATCTGACTAGGAAGTACTGCCAGTTGACATGAATGGCTTCAGCATATATCACAATCAATGGAATATGTCACCTTGGAATTTTTCTTGATGTGCCAAGTCAGTTGGAAATTTCTGAGTTTTCAAAGAAAGCCGTAATGAAACCCCACCTTTCATTGTGTAATTTGCAAACGAATTTTATTTTAAAGCATCTAGGTGCGGGGATTTCATCTTCAAGCAAGTATACTGGTGTTGTGTAATCAGTAATATAATAAAATGTAATTCAAGCTCCTGCGTACTACCCTGTCATTTGGGAGAAATCTGCCGCTTTACTCTTGCACAGTGCGACTGATGGTTGTTAATATAGTTTTTAACAAAAGCTTTATCAGCACTTGTTAGGAAAATACAAAGTATGTATCTGTAGGTACAAAACTTCCATTTATAGTTGAATGGATAGAAGATCGTAATTTGTCAATAGTGTTTATAATTAGTGATCGCCTTTGTCCATATTGAGAATATTTTAAATGCCTCACCCAAGATCATTCAGTCTGTGGTTTTCTGTATTCTTCCTAAGATACTATTCCATGCAATTCATATTTAGCAAATATTTTTCATTGTAGTCACAGCTTTGGCCATGTCAACGTTAAATAAAAGTTACTGAGTGCTCAGGATGTGAATCCATAATATGTACTGAAGAAAACTATAAGAGTAACTTTATTTTAGTAAACTGCACCATGTGTTGTAGTTGTTCAGTGTTGTCTGAGCTGTGTTATTTGATTCCCATTGAATCATAAGCAGAGTGAATTACCTCATCGATACCCTCTACACACTGTATATTTGTTGCTTCCTGATGAACTTATTACCCTGTTCTCCAATGAATTGTGATTTCTTGTGGAATATTGTCTGTCTGAGTTCAGTATCACATACAGTGGATTAAGATAGAGATGCAATTTCATAATTGTTGTAATATAGTTAAATGGGGGGAGAGGTTAATCACTGAATCTTTGTTCATTGAATTTATGCCGAACTCATGTAACAGGAATGACGCAACATTAATACCCGGATAATTGAGACTTTTATTACTATTAGAATCAAAGGATAAGAAATAATGGAACTATATAAACAAAATCTGAAAATTATTTGAGTACTTTTATATGATGGTTACGGACAGTAAATTGAGCTTGAGACATCAATAAAACTGCATAAGTATGCTACATCAAATAAAATTATTCTGCCATGGAACACAGAAAATATCCGAAGTTAATTTCTAAAAATTAGACTCGGTAATCGAAATACGATGTGCAACTGTTAGTAGTATTCATCATTACGGTCACTTTCAATTAACGCCACAGCTAAGTTGTCGGTTTATGATGAAATCAGGCCTCAAGTCAGTAATTCAAATGACACGGATTAGTTCAAGAACAAAAAAATCTCCAAATGTAATTAGGTAGATCGTGCCTAATCTTTTATTTCAATATACAGATATGACGAATGTGTATCTCATCCCCTGTTGTTTGGCACAGAATTATACACATTCTCATAAAATGATTGCCATTTCACTACAAATTATCTGACGCATTGTTCATTGATAGATTATACTACAACCATGCAACTCATTGATTACACTGAATGACGAATAATTAGATGCATAGCACTATTAGCTGTTTCAATCTAGCATCCCTGGATTCATACGGTTATATTTGAAGCATACTGCTTCATGAAGTAGAACACTTGCTAAAAGCAAGCATTAGCTGAAGGCTCAAATTGTTTTCCTAGTAAAATTTAAACGATTAATACAATTAACAATTACAAACGTATCTCGCGATGGAGTGTATACAAACACACTTTATTAATGATTCTAAGACTTCAGTTATTCCCTTGGAAATGGAGTGATAGAGAACATCAGGCACATTTTAAACCAGAAGTGTAGGTTCAGGCTTTAAGATAGAGCATAGTTCCAGTGTCTGACTTTCATGATTATTGATCATTTCAGTCTTTCTGAGCAGTTCCTATATTATTACTGTTGCATTTTACTTCCGTTTAGGTTTTTGAAATTCATATCGGTTTTGGATAATATTCACATCTAGTCGAATCTGGTCTTTTTTCCTCAGGTAGTGTGCATATTTCTGTTTTGATTTGTAAACTGGTGAGCACAACTGAGCTAGATTATTCAGGTGGTTAATAGTTTTTGTTACTGTATTTTTTAAGTGTTCATTGTCTATCAGTATTTCTTATAACCATACAATACAAATAATTTTGCCAGATACGAGTTGCTGACTTCTGCCCTCTCCATGTTGTTCTCTGATCTTTGGTTATTGCATAAATGCAATTACAAAATAACGTATCACAGCTATTGAAACGATCCAATTGGTTTCGTGAGACCAACGTCAGATCACTCATTGGATAAATTTAATAGTTAAGTGTGACTGGAAATAGTTTACTCCCAAAACTAATTTAAAACAAGCTTGTTTTAAATATAGCTGGGTAGTTTTGTTTATATTTGGGCGCCAGATACAGAACTTTGAACGATACACTGATTCTGGATGAGACTAAAGTTAATTGTAAAATTACTGGGCAAATACTTTTCCGGATGCCTTACGAACTTCCCATACAATTGATTTAGTCCTAACAAGTTTGTTAATTTAATAATGCAACCATCATATATTCAAATTGAGAAGTCCATATGAGAATTGTGATTTTTCTACAATATTCCTTCCTAGTTCAATGAAACTTTTGGATTCTGTTAAGTAGTATTCGCTGTTGAGACATTAAACAAAGATTTTAGTGAAGAGAATTTCCTTTCC